ATAGCTTGTAAGTACTGCTCACTTGTCAGCTAGGTTCGTGTGTTTTTGACCTGCTTTTGTTTAAGAAGGTAAAAAAGAATAAATAGTAGAGTGAATACAAGGAATAAATTATCACTTCTGCTCTCCTGTCTCCCTTTCATCCCTCTCATCTGTTTTCAGTTCGTTCACAAGTCATGCTCATTCTGTCTACAAATGCAGCTTACATCCTCCATGAACTTCTAGTCCGTTGCCCATCTGATCCACTGTCATCCCTTCCCAGGCCAACAGCACCAGACACCTAACTGGCCTCCCTCTTCATTCTTGTTCATTGAGCACAAAGAAGTCAAAAAGACTTCTGAAAATACACACTGAATGGTACAGCTGTCTACTTAGAATCCTTTACTGGTTCCCCATGTTCTCAGGTTGCCCATGACAATCCAGGTTTGCCATGGCCTTTGCTCTCCCCTGGCATTCTCATAGTCACTTCTGCAGTGGGTAGAGCCACCTCAGCTCATCCTTGGTCACCTCTTTAACATTTTCTCCCTCTCAGTGTTAATGTTTTTTCATTGTTTGCATTTGTTCCTTTAAGATTCTTTTTATGCCCTTTAATTGTTCTGCCTTATAAGTTATTAGTATTAATTGTAGCAGTACTTATTGATCATTGGCTATCTCTCTAGCACATTTATGTGACGCATGGGCCTTGCCTGTCTTTCTCATAAGTGTCATCCCAATGCCAGCATATAGTAGATGCTCAATTAATATTTGTTAAAATGGAAAAGAAAATTGTATAAAGAGAAAGTAACCAATGATTGTGCTAGCCTCAGAGGCAGGTAATACATGTTTTGGTGTTTCATACCAATGTGAAGTTGGAGATGAGGAGAAGCTACAGAGCTTTGAACTCTGGTGACTTAGTGATAAGGAGTTGTACTGCCAGCCGAAGACACACATTAAATCTTCCCGCTGGTCCAAGGGTAAAAAACAGACCGTCTTCTTCCATGTGGTTTACTGCCTCTGAAATCCTGCTGGGGGATCAGTTGTGAATCAGTTCCTACTCAAAGGTACATAGCAACAAGAGTGCTCAGGAAGACCTTCAATGAGCAGAGAAAGTCAGACGGGGCGGTAAGCAACACACAAGCTAACATATACTGCTTATTTTTATGTCCTTGGTATACTTGGTTTCAAATTTTATTGTGAATTGAGAGGAACTTAATGTTTCCATTTATAAAGTCATACTTTTTGTTGCGTGACATTGATTGAGGCCCCCACAATTTAAGAGTGTTCTTTCCAATGTTATTGTTTGTTTTTTTCATTCATTTATTCATTCATTCATTCATTCATTCCTGCCTTCTGCACTCTATACCCAGGGGAATACTCCCATATTTTAAAAAAATCTTCTGTAGTTGATTGTTATAAGAATTAGAATTTGATATCTCCCTGGTATTACTGTTCACCTTGTAGGTCGTTTGTTACTTGAGAGTTCAGCCATAAGGGTGAATTTAATTCCGGGATTGAAGGATGATTAAGTGTTCTAGTCTCAGTAGGTCCACCAGTCTCTGTCAGCCCAATAAGACTAGCTTTTGTTACTGTTTTAATGATTTTAAGTTTTGCTCTACATTTGCTCCTCCTCTATGCAGGACCCTCTATTATGGTCCCCATTAGTGGTCAGGATTGATAACTGGGAACCGGCTAGTTCTTCTAGTCTCAGGGTGGTGGAATTGAGATTATCATGGTCCATAATGATGACCAAAGAAGAATTAATGCCATTGAACAGGGGTTTTGGCAAAGAGTACTAACTATCGCCTAGATTACCAAAAAAGAACAAGCATACCTGTCTGTTTTGGAAGAAATACAACCAAGATGATCTTTGGAAGCAAGGATGGTGAAACTTCATCTCACATATTGGGTCATGTTGTCAGGAAGGACCAGTCACTGGGGGGGGAAAAACACCATACTGGAAAAGTTAGAGGATTAGAGAAAAAGAAGGAGACCCTTAAGAAGCTTGATTAACACAGTGAGTATATCAGTGGACTCAGGTCTACCAGAAATGGTGGGGATGATGCAGGACAGGACAAGGTTCAGATCTGTTGTTCATAGTGGTACTTTGAGTTATAGTGGATTCATAACAACAACATATAATAGTGACAATGGCACATAACAGCAACAATGATCCATTAGCCCTTTGAACTAATTGTTTCTGTGCATTTTGATTTTTAGAAATTCTTTGTTCCAAGTAGAGACCAATAGTTACATCTTAGATGACTGGCTGATCCCAAGTTTTTAATTCTCCAGCTGCTTTTCACTAAAGTATGATGTACAATAATGTCTTTATAGTCTGTGTTCACCTCTGTACCAATTCACTTCTGTATGCCTTTAGGCAATGGTTTTGGAGCCCCAAGCCCAGTAACTCATTTTCTCAGAGTGATTAGTCTTCACTAAGAAGTTTATATAACTTTTCCCTCATGGTTATGTTATGCACATGGATATATTCAAAGTACATACAGATGGAAATATCATCTGCTAAACTTTGTATGGTCATGAATTTGTTCCTATGTTTTCCGAGACTTATTTTCTGAGCACTTGTTTCCAGATTAGATTGAATTAGGGAGAGACTGGAATAAAGATTGTGTAAAGAGTTGTTTTTCCAGTGCAAAAAGGATAAGGTATTGGATAAAGTGATCCTGTGGAACTATAGAAGTGAGTTCAAAACTCTACAGTTAGGAACTTTGTGGTGACAATGCACCAAGCAATCCAGATATAAACCATTATGCTTCCTGTATTATATAAAACTTAAACTTCCAGTAAAAGCAATATTTCTATGTATGTAAAGGACCTCCACAATTAACACTCTTGGCACCAGCAGCCAGGAAATTAAAAGACATATTGCGATGGAAAAGTCTGCTATTAGAGACTTCTCTAAAGTACTGAAGAGCAATGATGTCAGTCTGGAGACTAAGGTGTACCTGTTCTGGGCCATGGTCTTTGCAGTCACTTGTTAGGCATCAGAAAGCTGGATAATGACTAGGGATGATAGAAGGAGAATTGATGCCTTTGAGATGTGGTGTTAGAGAAGAGTATTGAATATACCATGGACTACTAAAAGAATGAACAGATTTGTCCTGTAGATGGTTAAACCAGGCTGTTCCTTGGAGGCAAGGATTTTGAAGATTCGTCTGATATATTTTGGACATGTTATAAGGAGTGACCAACCTTTGGAGAGGGATGCCATGTGTGGGAGGAAGGAAGGACAGCACAGGAGAGGAAGACCCTCGAGATGGATTGATTCAGTAACTGAGGTAATGTGGATAGGTGTGTCAGAGACAATAGGATTGGCACAGGATAGAGCAGGGTTTAGGACTTTTGTACATAGGGTTGCTATGAGTTGCAGGCAACTCGACAGCACATAACAACAACAACAACAAGGGTGCTCTGGTGTCTTAGTGGTAAAGAATTGAGCTTTCAACCCAAAGGTATGTGATTTGAATCTACCAGCCAGCTGATCTTGAGGAGAAAGATGGGCAGTCTCCTCTCATGTGATTTATTGCTTCTTAAAACTCTCCTGAGGGCCAGCTGTGGGTTGGTTCTGACTTGAAAGTTACAACAACAACAATATGCATATATGTTTGTGCTGTATATTTGTATATACATACAAATGTATGTAAGGATCCTTGGTGGCACCATAGTACTTACCTGAGAATTTTGAAGTTCAGACTCACTCAACAGCTTAACAGGAAAAAACGCTTAGGGATCTCTGCAATAACGGTTGCAGCCAAAAAACCATAGGCTATAGTTCTTTGTCACAAATGGTCAATATGAGTTAAAATAGACTCAGTTACACCCAACAAAACAGTATTAACACATTTTTGTTGTTTTTAGTTTTTTGTTGTTTTTTTTAGGCTCCCTCCTTACATTTTTAATAGTTGCTGAGATAAAAATTAATCTAATATTGGAGTGTCTTTCTTTTGCATTATCTCCTTCTTTTTTTTTTTTCTTTTTTTCCCCTTCTTTCTTGATTTATTTTTTTCTTGGTTTCCATGACATCCATCTCATGATTTCTCTCTCCTGATTGTTGTAGTACCTAATTATCAGTCTCTTACACTGAATTATCTTTCTCTTCCTGATCCTTCCATATTAGTGTTTTTTAAAAAATAATTTTAATGATAATTTACAGAGATTTTGGATTTCCATTCATTCATTGCTTCACTTCTCTTCCCACCCATCCCCCCCCCCCCCCCCACCCCCAGTTCACTCCTCTCTTTCAAAAGTAAAAGAAACACTCCTACCCTGGTACACAGTCCCCCCACACCCCTCCCACCACCCCAAGTACATTCCACTATGCAACCTTAACTTTTTATGTGAAATTGGTAGAAGCCTTCATGTATAACCTACTCTTACTTTAGTAAACTCCATACTGATATGAAAATATCTAGATGGAGTAAGGTGGAAACTGCAGTGTATTTCCACTGGAACACAAACAGATCTGTCCTGGTGAAAATGAAGCCAGAGTGCTCCTTGGACACAAGAATGGCAACACCTCATCTCACATACTTTGGGCATGTTGTAAGGAGGGGTCAGTCCTTGGAGGACATGCTTGGAAAGTTGGAGGATCACTGTAAGAGAAGAAGCCCTTAGTGAGATAGATTAGCACAATGTCTGTAACAGTGGGCTAAAGTGTGTCAGAGTTGGTGAGGAAGACACAGAATAACACAGTGTTCAGAGCTGTTGCCCATAGGGTCACTATGAGTCATAGTCTACTCAGTGGCACACAACAAGAATGTTTCCACTGGTGTTAAATTAACAAATGAGACCAAATACATGAGAAACACTCAGTAATATTAATTTTTCATCTGAATGCCAAAAAACGTAGTACTGATATTTACCTTTTATGTGTCTGCCAGAATTTGATTTTTTTTTGTTCTGGCAACTTGCTGTCTGAAAGACAATTATTTGAAAAAAAAAAGTATTTGAAACATTTTTCTAATGATGATTTGTGTAAAATTATTCCTTTTTTTTTTTTTTTTAAGAACTTGAACAGGATGAAGAAAACAGTGAGAAACACATAGCAGCCCCAGAAGGTGAAGCTGTTCCAGAGTCTCAGGTACCGAATCTGCTGTGGCACTCACATTGTTCTCTGCCTTTTGAGTGATGAGTTAGAGCAAGTGCACTCAACTTACACAGGTCTTTACATTTTGTATTCTATAAATTCAGTCCTCTGGTGTCCTAGTGCTAGGGATTTGCACTGCCAACCCAAAAGTAAGCAGTTCAAGTCCAACAGCTGCTGTATTGGAGAAATATGGACATTCTTATCCCATGCAATTTACAGTCTCTGAAAACCCACTGGTAGGTCAGTTATGAGTTGGCTTTGTCTCAGTGGTAATGAGTTGAGTTGGGTTGATTATTAGGAATGTTGTTATCATTGTTTTTGTGTACTGTGTGTTTGGAACTGATCTGTACCTGGCCCTCCAGTGGGTTTTCAGTGTAGCATTTAATCTCACAATAAGAGATTGCCCATCCTTTTTCCTTAAAACCGCTGTTGGTCTTGAACCTCATGCCTTTGGGATTGCAGTGAAGTTTTTTTTTGCCACTAGGCCACCAGAGCTCCACTATTAGGAATAAAATGTTTAATTTTTAATAGAAATGTGTTTCTCAAGAGCCCTATTATGGATCGAATTGTGTCCTCCAAAAATCAGGATATAAAATCCAAAAACCTGTGTATCTGTGACTATAATTCCATTTGAAAAGTGATTTTTTTATTATGTTAATGAGGTCAGATTAGTGTAAAAAGAACACGTTAAGCAAGCAGAGCTGAAAAAAAAGATAGATGCCGACCCACATGAAGATTGCCATGATCCCCAAGGAGCGGAAGCTGAGGTGACAAGGACTTTCTCCTGGAGCCAACAGACAGGGCCTGACCCTAGAGTTGCCACCCTGAATTTGGACTTTGGACATTCTAAACTGAAGAAAGTAAATAAATATGTTTACTTTAACATCAGTTAAAGTCAGCCAGTTCCTAATTTCCTAATCATATTTATAATTTGATTCTCAGTGGAGAGACACAAAGGGAGATGTATTTTGTCTCCAGTTTCCAGAGAAAGCAAAAACAGTGAATGAAGGAGCCAGGAGAAGACACCCTTGGAGAAATGTCCCCTGTAGGTGGCAGGACAGAATCAGCCAGCTGACAGTACTGTCTGCTGGGGTTTTACCTGATGCGTTAGTGTAATGATCACCTGCAAGAAATTCTGGACCACAACCCAATATGTACATTTTTGTACAGATGTATTGTAGGTAGCAACTAACCCCCAAATAAAAAACATTTATTGCCAAGTAAAAACATTGGATCCTCCAATGTTGACAATTTTTAACTTCATGTAAAAATAGAGCATGAGCATTCAGGGAAATCTGGAGGCCTAGTAGCAAGAAGCTGCACTGCAATCCTGAAGACACACACTTAAGGCCACCAGCCACTTCACAGGAAAAATGTGCACAATCTCCTTTTGTGCGATTAACTGCCTTACTTATGGCTCTGACTCTACAGTACACAGCAACAACAACATGGCTGTATAAGACTAAAAATAAACTTACTAGCCTCATCAATATTAGTAACAAATGTGGATGTTAAAAGATGTAACTTCATGGTTTAATATTTTATAAAAAAATAGAGTTTAATGAATTTTTTTTAATTGCTTGAGCCATTGCATTTTGCTTTTAAAGTTCTAAATATTCATTCATGACCAAACAATCACATTAATGGTTTAAGTCAAGATTTCACAGATTGTATTGTTTAATTAAATTTAAGCACAAAGAATTGTGTTGCCTAATAATACTGAAAATATGTGATGCTCGTGTTAATATTGAAATTACATATTTAATTCATATTGGGATTTCAGGCAAACCTAAGCAGGTATTTCCCAGTACAAAGTATTTGGACTTTCTCTCTGGTTTCTTAAATCGTTACATTTTTAGTAGGTCAGGTGTTTCGAAATTTATAAAGCTTTTATTCTTTGTTTAGGACTACCTGCATGAGGAAAGTCTAACTTAATGCAATTTTATTTTTCCAAAAGGGTGCACAGGATTGATTGGTTTGTGTGTGTGGTTTTTTTGTTTTTTGTTTGTTTGTTTGTTTTTGTGACTCACAGTAACTTTCATGTAAGTGTACATCTACACCCATGTAGTGGAATAAAACCAAATATGAATGGGTAGTTTGGTCAGCAGTCGATTTCCTTTAGGAGGGCAAGTCAGGAGTGAAGTTCCCTGGGGATGTAGTTCTGGGTGTGAAAGGCCCAGGCTTCATGGGAAAGAAGACAGCTGTCATTTTCAGTGATGTGTCGGAGAAAATTTCATCTGCTACGACTTGAACCACCAGTTTTTATGTCTGATTCTGCGGGTCCATGTATACACATGCTCTCTGAAGACTCACTAGTAGTTTAAGTCATGTGAAGTAAACTTTGAAAATTGTGTCACCACACACTAGGCAGAATTAGAAGAGTGTGTGTACGTGTATATGTGAGTACGTGCTCGGTTTATTTATTATGTGTAATTTCTCATAAGATTTATTTACTCGATGCCTGACTGTTATACATATAATTGATTGAGTACTTCTTTGCCAGGCACTATAGTAAATATTGTAATTTTGTAATCTTTACAAAATAAATAATGCATGTATAAATAAATAAATAATTTAAATACAATAAATATTACATTATCACAGTGTTCACACTTGGGAATAGTTTAAGCATGTTAAGTGGAGATTGATTTCCATTCCTTCTCATTTCATGATGAGATACGATGCTGAGGGAGCAATGCCCTTGGGCTCGTCTTCAGATCCATGAAGGGTCAGCATGGTCACCTTCCCCAGAGAGACTGGACTGTGGTGTGAACAGGCTTCCCGCCTTGCAGAGAGAATTCTTGTTCTCTCTCTTATGTTGCTTGCTCTTTTCTTCTCTTTGCTGCCTAAGAAACTCACCATTTTGTTTTATAATATTTTATACTGGATTACTTACAAAGTTTGTATACGTTTTTTTCACACCAGATCTTTCCCCACCCCGCCCTCCACCCATCAAATTATGAGACCCTATGATTAAGCCCCCTCTCCCTATTTTCACCCCTCTACCCTCCCTCCCTGCCTTGGATCCTCATACACGTTCTGCAATAATGGTTTTATATAGTATTTGTCCGTATAGGACTGAGTGAGTTCACTTAGCATAATACTGCCCAATCCACAAGTCCTGCTTTAATGCTGTGAGGTATCAGTGGAATGAAGAGGGTTAATTTAGACTTAAGTTTGCATCTCAGCCCTTCCTCTAAGCAGTGCAAGTTGTTCAGTATCTCTAAACATGTAAATTCCTGTCAAGTGACTTTGTTTCTCTGTCACTACTGTATTCTTAACATTCTAGGCAGTGCCTGGCATACTAGGTCTTCACTTCTGACGGAGATATTATAAGACCACAGGAATGAACTTTTCTGAACTTCAATAACCTCAACTGTAAAACCCCAAACTATGATTTTCTTAAGGGGAATTTTGATGGAAAAAGCCCTGGTGCCACAGTAGTTAAGCACTCAACTGCTAACTGAAAAGTCGGAAGTTTGAAGCCACGAGAAACCCTAGAGGGGAAAACTTGGTGATCTTCTTCCTTAATATTGACAGCCTGGAAAACTCAGTGGGGAAGTTGTGCTTTACCACATCTAACCGCACTATAGCACAGATGGCGAAGATTCGGCTCTCATACTTTGGACTTGTTGCTTAGGGAGGCTATTCCTTGGATCATCTGTGGGTGAAGGTCTCTATTCCTTTCTTCCTCAGTGCCAGTGGGTGGAATTGAACTACTAACTTTTTATGTTAGTAAACCTATACAAACCATTTCTACTAGCCTCTAAAAAAAATCCCCAAACTTATTGTTGAGTCAGAACCAATGCATAGTTAGCCCTCCAGTGGGTTTTCAGAGGGTGTAAATCATACAGGAGGAGTTTGCGAATCTTTCTGACACGGAGCTGGTGGTGAATTTGAACTGACTGAGGGGCCACCTCTGGGTTAGCAGCACAGCTCTCTACAGATGAGGCCCCCAGAGCTTCCACTACCCAGAAACCCTAAAGTGAGAGAGAGGAAGTCACCAAAAAGATTCCTGATACCCGAGCATGCTGAATAAAGCCTGTAGCAGTGACACTCTGGAGTTTAATAAAAGGTCCCTGGATGGTGCAAACAATTAGTGTGCTTTGGTGCAAACCTAGGGAGCTCTGGTGGCTCACTGGTTAGAAATTGTGCTGCCAGCACAGAGGTACTCAGTTTGAATCCATCAGGTGCTCCATGGGAGAAAGATAGATGGACAATCTCCTTCCATGCAGTTTACTGTCTCTGAAAAACCTGCTGAAGGGTCAGAATTGGTTCTGACTCAATGATACACAAGAATGACATTGTTAACCTAAAGGTCAGAGTTTTGAGTCTATCCAGAGGCACCTTGGAAGGAAGGCAAGAAGGCAGGAAGGGGGTCGGGAGGAAGGGAGGAAGGAGGTAGGGAAGAAAGGAGGAAGGAAGACAAAGCCAGTTATTGAAAACAGTTAACAGTAAATTGTAGATGGCTAAGAGAGGCTGTTCCTTAGAGAAGGACATGATGTTAGGAAGGGTGGAGGGTCGTCGGTGAAGGAGAAGAAGACCCTCAAGCAGGTAGATTGACATGGTGGCTGCTGCAGTGGACTCTTGTGTGTCAGGAAGTGTGAGGAAGGAGCAGGAGAGAACAGGGTTCATATTTTTTGTTCATACAGTTGCTATGAGTCATACTTGACTTGATGGTGCCTACCTAAACAACAACAACAACAAACTGTATATAGAACATAGTTATTATGTTCAGGCACACATCAGGTTGTCATGAGTCAGAATCAACTCAGTAGCCAACTGGTTTGATTTTTTTTTTTAGGAATTAGTGAATCTGCCTTTGTCACTATGGCTTGTGCAGCTTTCTTAGTCCTTTCTCCAGTTATCCCAGGATACATTTTTCTTTGCCAACCAGGGCAAATATTGATGTGATTATCTTCTTCCTTCTGGAGAATTTGGGGGAAAATTAATGCATGCTGCTCTAAGCCGATTATTTGTAGTATGAACTGTCC